CCCGTAACCACAAAGGGCACGTGGCCGTTCTTTGCCCGTTCGCCAAATCACCGCAACCACAAGCAGACCCCTGTGACGTGGACCACCCGCTGATAAACGCAACCCGTTACTCCAGGAGCCAGCCGCGGGCACTACCGTATCGGCTGGTATCGGCCCTGTCCGCCTGCTTCGTGTCGCCCCAGGTCACAGTGAAGGCTGCCAGCACGTGCTGGGTATCGCAGTATCGCTGTCTCGCAGGCCATCAGTCTCCAGACCCAATGGAGTTCTGCCAAGCGCGTGGCTGGCTGTATGCGTCTATGTATACCGGATCCAGATCGCACAGATTCCTCTTTTATCAATTGACAAAGGGTAGGACTGGTAATTGCAACGGTTAATGGACAGATTCAGTTATTGAAATTAAGCATTTCTCTATTATGGGGCTAGCGCTCATACCAGTCTATCAGTCACCATAAAAAGATCAGACGAAGTGCGCACCTTAAAACTTCCTCACCTGGGCCTATCTTTATTTTCGTCTCGATTCGCAATGGATACCCATTTGGAGGAATAACTCTCGGTAAGGCTCGTTTTTCGTTCTGTGGGGCAGCTTTGGAGCTACCCAAGGCTCGATCCACCACAATTGGTCGGTCGGAAAGCTACAGCCGGACCAACCGAGCACTGAATCAAGCCGCCAGTGAGCAAATCTGGTCCTGCGCCTGGCAATAAATTGTTACCGCGGCCGCTCCTTTGAAGCACCCGTAAATTACCTCGACTGTTGTGCGTTTTACGTCTGAAACACGGCGTGTTTCGTGGTTGCGCAAGGTGTCTGTCTGTTGGCCAGTCTGGCCGCTCTGCAGATACCTGAGTCAAAATAATCTGTTAACGATGTACTGAGAGATACTGCGCTACTGTCTAAAATGAGAGTGCCGGTTTGCTGAAAGCGGATCCCGCTTCAGTCCATTATCGTGAGCGGGGTACTCGGGAAAAGTGCCGGCGATCGCTTATCTGCAACATATTTATGTCTGAGAAAGTATTCTGCAAACGGGTGTTTTGCAGCGCCGTTCCTGGCGGCGATAGCAGGCACCGAACCATCAGATGGACCGCCTCTGAGGGCGACGTGATTGAGCATCAGTTCGGAAAAGCTGCCGCAAAACTGACACCGTCTCAGATTTCCAATATTTCACAGGAATGTCGCAGAGGGGTCAGTGTCTGGGAGCCAGATACGCTTGCTGACCCAGTCACTGGTCATTAATGTTGGCGAAAAATTACAGATGACGTGAGTTGATAAGAGGTTAGTTTTCTGTAACGCAGAATGTTACAATACATGTGGTCTTTGTGTGCACACACGTTTAAAAAATGATACTGTGCGATCAGATAACTAACTGAAAACATCTTGTGCGCTTCTGTCTTTCACAAACCTGCAAACCATTAGCGCGAGCTATGTAATGCAATTACAGGGCCTGGGCAATCGCACACTACCACACACACACACAGTCACACATGTGAATACTGTTCAGCCATGCAACGAATTCCAATCCCTTTCTTCACCAAAGCAGATCACATCGACCTACCACGCGGCCCCTCCCCTGCTCACTCCCTAACCGTCATCGGGATCATTTATTCCGCCTCTGTCACGGGAGGTCGGAGTGGGGTCGGCCCGTGGGTGGGGAGGGGGGGGGGGGGGTGATCAGTTAGCGGCACCGGCCAGCCGTCCTACAGCGCTGGGAGTCTGAGTTACCAGTCTCTGCCCGCCCGCGAGTCATCAACATGCGCACGAGCGCCAGCATCCGCGGGTGGCGAGGGGTCGCGGTGGGGCGGCCCGGGTAGCACTTTCTCGCTGCCTTCATCAGAGCTCATGCATAGCGTTAACATGCCAGATGGTTGGTGCATCGGGGCATGCGCCTTCTTCACTCTTCGAGCCGTCGGTTCTGCATTACACTAATGCTCGAATCAAACGGTATGAATTGTATGTAAATACCCATCATCCAACAAAATATTGTCTAGCATGCATTGTTTGTTACTTTCATTTTAGCTATTAGTTATAGGCGGCAGGACACTATATACTGTGCAGCTGAAATTTTAGACTTATTAATAGATGGACGAAACTAGCGATGGCGCTCGCACGTGCCCACGCGCACGGCGCACAGGACCAGCCACGTTCGGTATAACGCGTCCCCGTTTTGTTTTCCGGTCCCGTTCGAATGCCTCGACAGGAAGGCGGAGTTCGACGCCAATCAGATAGCGTAATCAAGCGTCGATAGTCGGTGTGCCAGCTGGGAAAACTCGGGGCCGTGCTCAAACACAGCTGGGCGGCGACCGCAGACCGCACGCCGCCGCTCGTCGACAGAGCGTCGCTTTTCGTCGACGGCGTGCCGCTATTCGTCGACGGCGCGCCGCTGTTCGTCGACAGGACAGTTTGCGCGTCTCATTGACTCACGGGTGGTTGCGAGGTTTAACGATCCGTGAATGGTGGGTATCCGTGAGTAGGTGGTCACAAAAGCGGTGATGGGTCCCTGAGCCGTGATTGATGACGCGTCATGTCGGTTCGTGTCACGGAACATTACACATGACGGCAAGGAAATAGAATATTACGAGGTGGTACAGAGTCATCAGTCATTCATTAACGAACTTTTGTTCCCTTAACCTTATTTTCGTTGTTTCGTCTTTAGTTGTAAGGCTGGAACAAAAGCCGGTATGTAGGCCTCGCATATGGAAGAGGCGGACGATATCAGCAAATCATACTCATTGATGATACATGTTAAACCTTTACACCCCTATTATGCTTACTAATATACCATAGCCGGTATGACAACATGGCGCGTTTTGTAAATGAGAGCAGACTGGGAAGGCGAGAGCAGACTGGGAAATATTGCCGAAATATGGCTTAAGTAACTAAGTTGACCTTCGTATGAAATTCATCAAGTCATGCTGTCTTCCCTTATATCTATGCCAGCGGTCCTCGATCATGTGACAGCGAAATCATTAACCCTAGAACGCCTAGGGGGGGGGGGGGTTGTATCAACCCCCCCCTGAGGTTTTTTCGAAGTGCACGCTAAACGGCTTGTCGTAGCGGGCTGAAATTTTCAATACCCTATGGGGCAACCTTTGCGCATCTTTTGCCGAAAAAAAATTGATCGGGTCATGTCAGGTCACGGAGTTATGACGTCATAAGAGGTACAGCCTCCGGCCGGATTTTCACAAACTGAGTGCCAACGCCCGAGGTTTCCTGCCGGTGGTACGGACATCGGTTGATGGATCGTGATGAAACTTCCCATGCATGTTGGGGCAAGTATTGGCTATCATATGGTATAAGAAATTTGACCGGGTCAGGTCAGGTCACGGAGCTATGACGTCACAAGAGGAACAGCGTCCGGTACTATTTTTGAAAAGCGCCCTGAACCACTATTTTGCTAATTCTTGTCACCTCAATGGGAATATGCAGCAATATTAGCTTCTATAGGGAGCAAATGGACCTCCCAAATCCAAAAATACAATCAGATTTCAAAAATTTAAATTTTGATTTTTCGAATTTCTGCCGCCGACTGTGACCTTGCCGACTTCCGGCGCTCCCAACGCGCCATTTTTAGAGCTAGGGAAACGAAATACATACCAAACGATAGAGAATTGATCAAGGAACACGATAGTGAAGGTTTCAAGTCGATATCTCCCACCGTTTTGCCGCAATCGCCGCCGAAAGTTGAAAAAAGTCTATTTTTTCCGAAAATTTGACCTTTGACCGGTCAAAAGTAGGTCAAATGTTGACCTAGGACCAAAAAATATACCACCAATCGCGAGATCTCGTTGAGAGCAATCCGTTGGTTTTTTTCCGCTAAGCTCTACGACCTTCCGTTTCGAAACGCCAGGGGGGGGGGTCGTAACAACCCCCCCCCCCTGGTCGTTCGTGTTATGAGAAATGGCCTGGTCGTGCGAGGGTTAAGAATGCAGAACATATTCATTTTACTTTCGACACCATCCCATCTCCTGTCAAGAAAATTCACTAAAGTTGGATGTTTGGCGTAAGTGAAAAATGCGGAATGGAATGGGCTCGATAAGGAAGGACAAATTCCATTCGGTCACCTTGGCCCTCAGAAGACAAGCGGTCGACCCAGTTTGTCGTTAAGAATGTTAATGAAATGAATGCCCGTTGTCAATCTCATGTCAAAACAGAACGACCAAAAGAGCTCTAGGTTCAAAATACTTGTTTCCTTGATAAGTGTTTATCTTTCCGATTTCTATAAAATGGAGTGCTTTGGAATGTGCTTTCAAAGTTATAAGTTAATTCTTAAACAAATATATCCAAGGAATATTGAAGTTTCAGTAAATTTTCCAGATTCCTTTTTAATCTTACATGCCAGGCAAAACATTTGCCATCCAAATGGGTGCAGGAGATTCACTGATGATCACCTCATACGATTCATAAACAAATCCTCCATCTTCGCGTAACACTCCCCATTCCCGAGACAGAAACTCGCACGTCAGCCTGCACAGCGACAAAAAGTCACCAAAAATCTCCCATCCCCAGGGATAATCGCCTCTGCATAAACCAGAGCCTTTGACCGGATATTGAAGTCGATAAAAACGTTGTCACCATTCAGCGAGTACCGCGGCAGAGTTGGAGGAGAGAGCAGGGGAGGGAGAGCGGGTCACTGATGGGATTAGGGGGATTAGGGTGGTCATCCTCGCCGGATATTAACGTCCCGGGGGGGGGGGGCAAAATACAGATGCGTATATCCGCACTGTTCTAGGTGAAATCATCATGCGTGCATATGCGTGAGTGAGCAGATAAAGAGAAAAATGGAAGATTTACTCGTTTATCGAATATCAACGCATGATAAATGGATATCTTGCATGTTTATTATTGCTATAAAAAAAATCCTAGATAAATATCCTGGAATAAAAGGTATTCTTATAGCAGGCGTCGAATAAAATTGGTAGCAAGTGCGTCAAGGTAATGGCAAATCACAGCCACACAGTATAATGCCTACAGCTGCACTGTGCACAAACATCCCCACCACTGCCCTCACCTTGAGAATAATGAAATCCATTTGCTTTCCGGTGTATCTCTGGTGTGATGGTTGACTTTTCTGACCCTCCACCACTCTTTATCAGTCCCTCTTTCTCGTCCAAAATGTCAGCACACCTCTGCACGTCTGCCTTCTCGGGTCTCTGCACCGCTCCGGGGCCCTTCTGCGGTCTCACAGACCGCCACTGAGCCCCAGCCGGCACTGTTCCCTGCACACGCGCCTCGCACACCCACGGGAGCGGGCGTGACCGCACCCTCCCGGTCCTACCTCCACAATAACGCCGGAGCGGGCTCCGTGAGACGGCGGACCTTGCTGGTGGGGTAGTTCAGCCAGCCGCCGCCAGGGGCTCGTAAACGGGACGCGGGGAGACTACGGGACGAAATTGCGGACCGATCAAATATACCTAATGTTGATTGTAGAATGTATAGTCAAGACAAGTGACAATTTAATACTTGAGGCATTTAATTGTTTTTATGTGGTTGTTTTTTACCAGATTCGTTCCGATAAAAATAGTAAATATGTCTTCGTCTATAGACAAAGACATATATTGACAAAGATCGCAACCAAAACTCAAGTCGAAATTTAATGAGCAGCCATAATAATAGGCAATAATTATTTCATTTTTTTTTTTGCGTAACAGAACATCTGTTGGTAGGCATGAACGGGACCGAAGCAGTTACAGCGGAGCAAAATTCATGAACTATGTGAGCTTCCCATTCCAAGCCCATCTTTGCCGAACTCCTTGAAATGGATCCACTACAAATCCGTGCCCCTCGCCCCGGATATTGGTCCTCTGAAGCTCTCATCCCGCCTCTTCGCCGGCTCAGCCGCTGCATTGATACAAAGGCACCGCCCCTCTTCCCCGACCGGTCTGTTTGAACGGGGGAGACTCAGGAATGGGGAGTAGCGAGAGGGATGTTGATCAAGACAGCCCATATTCAGCCTTTCGCCGGATTCAGCCCAGATTCGGGACAGCTCTGATCAAGCTGAACTCTCACACAATGTAGGCCATGACTGCCCAATCCACAGTTAAAGTCTTCGTGGCACTCCCAGCCGTTTGACCCTACAGAGGTCAGCAAGGTCACGTGGCCCAAATTTGCACAGCAGATTGTGGCCCACCCAGTAGAGGTAGAGCGCTAAAAATGGCACCAATCGACTCGCCAGCATCTAATCTTACTTTCCAACCACTCATTTGACCTCTCAAGGTCATGCGATGACCAAAGGTCATTTGTGGGCTATGTCGAAAATACACTTGCACAGCAGTTTTCGAGTAGATGGATTGACCGAATTCCAAATCAAAGCACATCAGCGGGTAGCCCATAGGCCGTAGTAACTTTCCTTAAAAACCGCTTTTCGATATGTGACCCCGTTTGACCTCGGCAGGTCAAAATGTGCAAATAAACGACACTCAATACGTCACAGCCCGGATTCAGCCCAGATTCGGGACACCTGCGATCAAGCTGAAACTCGCACACAATGTAGGCCATGACATGCTCAATCCACAGTCCAAGTCATTCGGTGGCACTCCCAGCCGTTTGACCTACAGAGGTCAGCAAAAGTCACGTGGCCCAAATTTGCACAGCAGATTGTGGCCCACCCAGTAGAGCTAGAGCGCTAAAAATGGCCCCAATCGACTCGACAGCATCTAATCTTACTTTCCCAACACTCATTTGACCTCTCAAGGTCATGCGATGACCTAAGGTCATTTGTGGGCTATGTCGAAAATACAATTGCACAGCAGTTTTCGAGTAGATGGATTGACCGAATTCCAAATCAAAGCACATCATCGGGTAGCTCATAGGCCGTAGTAAATTTCCTTAAAAACCGCTTTTCGATATGTGACCCCGTTTGACCTCGGCAGGTCAAAATGTGCAAATAAACGACACTCAATACGTCGCAGCCCGGAATCAGCCCAGATTCGGGACACCTCCGATCAAGCTGAACCTCGCACACAATGTAGGCCATGACATGCCCAATCCACAGTCCAAGTCATTCGGTGGCACTCTCAGCCGTTTGACCTACAGAGGTCAGCAAAGGTCACGTGGCCCAAATTTGCACAGCAGATTGTGGCTTACCCAGTAGAGCTAGAGCGCTAAAAATGGCACCAATCGACTCGCCAGCATCTAATCTTACTTTCCCAACACTTATTTGACCTCTCAAGGTCATGCGATGACCTAAGGTCATTTGTGGGCTATGTCGAAAATACACTTGCACAGCAGTTTTCGAGTAGATGGATTGACCGAATTCCAAACCAAAGCACATCATCGGGTAGCCCATAGGCCGTAGTAACTTTCCTTAAAAACCGCTTTTCGCTATGTGACCCCGTTTGACCTCGGCAGGTCAAAATGTGCAAATAAACGACACTCAATATGTCGCAGCCCGGATTCACTCCAGATTCGGGACACCTGCGATCAAGCTGAAACTCGAACACAATGTAGGCCATGACATGCCTAATCCACAGTCCAAGTCATTCGGTGGCACTCTCAGCCGTTTGACCTACAGAGGTCAGCAAAGGTCATGTGGCCCAAATTTGCACAGCAGATTGTGGCTTACCCAGTAGAGCTAGAGCGCTAAAAATGGCACCAATCGACTCGCCAGCATCTAATCTTACTTTCCTAACACTTATTTGACCTCTCAAGGTCATGCGATGACCTAAGGTCATTTGTAGGCTATGTCGAAAATACACTTGCACAGCAGTTTTCGAGTAGATGGATTGACCAAATTCCAAATCAAAGCACATCAGCGGGTAGCCCATAGGCCGTAGTAACTTTCCTTAAAAACCGCTTTTCGATATGTGACCCCGTTTGACCTCGGCAGGTCAAAATGTGCAAATAAACGACACTCAATACGTCGCAGCCCGGATTCAGCCCAGATTCGGGACACCTCCGATTAAGCTGAAACTCGCACACAATGTAGGCCATGACATGCCCAATCCACAGTCCAAGTCATTCGGTGGCACTCCCAGCCGTTTGACCTACAGAGGTCAGAAAAGGTCACGTGGCCCAAATTTGCACAGCAGATTGTGGCCCACCCAGTAGAGCTAGAGCGCTAAAAATGGCCCCAATCGACTCGACAGCATCTAATCTTACTTTCCCAACACTCATTTGACCTCTCAAGGTCATGCGATGACCTAAGGTCATTTGTGGGCTATGTCGAAAATACAATTGCACAGCAGTTTTCGAGTAGATGGATTGACCGAATTCCAAATCAAAGCACATCATCGGGTAGCCCATAGGCCGTAGTAATTTTCCTTAAAAACCGCTTTTCGATATGTGACCCCGTTTGACCTCGGCAGGTCAAAATGTGCAAATAAACGACACTCAATACGTCGCAGCCCGGATTCAGCCCAGATTCGGGACACCTCCGATCAAGCTGAAACTCGCACACAATGTAGGCCATGACATGCCCAATCCACAGTCCAAGTCATTCGGTGGCACTCCCAGCCGTTTGACCTACAGAGGTCAGCAAAGGTCACGTGGCCCAAATTTGCACAGCAGATTGTGGCCCACCCAGTAGAGCTAGAGCGCTAAAAATGGCACCAATCGACTCGCCAGCATCTAATCTTACTTTCCCAACACTCATTTGACCTCTCAACGTCATGCGATGACCTAAGGTCATTTGTGGGCTATGTCGAAAATACACTTGCACAGCAGTTTTCGAGTAGATGGATTGACCGAATTCCAAACGAAAGCACATCATCGGGTAGCCCATAGGCCGTAGTAACTTTCCTTAAAAACCGCTTTTCGCTATGTGACCCCGTTTGACCTCGGCAGGTCAAAATGTGCAAATAAACGACACTCAATACGTCGCAGCCCGGATTCAGCCCAGATTCGGGACACCTCCGATCAAGCTACAACTCGCACACAATGTAGGCCATGACATGCCCAATCCACAGTCCAAGTCATTCGGTGGCACTCCCAGCCGTTTGACATACAGAGGTCAGCAAAGGTCACGTGGCCCAAATTTGCACAGCAGATTGTGGCCCACCCAGTAGAGCTAAAGCGCTAAAAATGGCCCGAATCGACTCGCCAGCATCTAATCTTACTTTCCCAACACTCATTTGACCTCTCAAGGTCATGCGATGACCTAAGGTCATTTGTGGGCTATGTCGAAAATACACTTGCACAGCAGTTTTCGAGTAGATAGATTGACCGAATTCCAAATCAAAGCACATCATCGGTAGCCCATAGGCCTAAGTAACTTTCCTTAAAAACCGCTTTTCGATATGTGACCCCGTTTGACCTCGGCAGGTCAAAATGTGCAAATAAACGACACTCAATACGTCGCAGCCCGGATTCAGCCCAGATTCGGGTCACATATCGAAAAGCGGTTTTCAAGGAAAGTTACTACGGCCTATGGGCTGCCCGATGATGTGCTTTGATTTGGAATTCGGTCAATCCATCGACTCGAAAACTGCTGTGCAAGTGTATTTTCGACATAGCCCACAAATGACCTTAGGTCATCGCATGACCTTGAGAGGTCAAGTGAGTGTTGGGAAAGTAAGATTAGATGCTGGCGAGTCGATTGGTGCCATTTTTAGCGCTCTAGCTCTACTGGGTGGGCCACAATCTGCTGTGCAAATTTGGGCCACGTGACCTTTGCTGACCTCTGTAGGTCAAACGGCTGGGAGTGCCACCGAATGACTGTAACTGTGGATTAAGCATGTCATGGCCTACATTGTGTGCAAGTTTTAGGTTGATCGGAGGTGTCCCGAATCTGGGCTGAATCCGGAATGCGACGTATTGAGTGTCGTTTACTTGCACATTTTGACCTGCCGAGGTCAAACGGGGTCACATATCGAAAAGCGGTTTTTAAGGAAAGTTACTACGGACTATGGGCTACCCGATGATGTGCTTTGATTTGGAATTCGGTCAATCCATCTACTCGAAAACTGCTGTGCAAGTGTATTTTCGACATAGCCCACAAATGACCTTAGGTCATCGCATGACCTTGAGAGGTCAAATAAGTGTTAGGTAAGTAAGATTAGATGCTGGCGAGTCGATTGGTGCCATTTTTAGCGCTCTATCTCTACTGGGTGGGCCACAATCTGCTGTGCACATTTGGGCCACGTGACCTTTGCTGACCTCTGTAGGTCAAACGGCTGGGAGTGCCACCGAATGACTTGGACTGTGGATTGCGCATGTCATGGCCTACATTGTGTGCGAGTTTCAGCTTGATCGGAGGTGTCCCGAATCTGGGCTGATTCCGGGCTGCGACATATTGAGTGTCGTTTATTTGCACATTTTGACCTGCCGAGGTCAAACGGGGTCACATATCGAAAA